AATGCTTTCCTTTATCATGTGTCCAGTGTTTTACAGAAGGATCCTGAAAGGTGGTAGGAAAAGATTTGAATAAGCAAGTGAAAGCAGGCTCATAACCGGGGTGTGGGCCTGTATTTCTGTTAATGCAAGCCCAAACAGAGGCCCATTCTCTTGGGTCTTCAGGTGATTCTGCAGCTGCAAAAAGTCTTCTGTCTGTATGATGATGTGGGACTTTGGAGGACAATGAAAGACGACATGGGAAAAATCTTGGGAGCTGGACAATTCTTTCTGCAAGCTGAACTACTTCGTAGTGAAAGTGTTCTGTAGTGACTCTGCATATGTGGCAGAAATCAGTGTAATACTCACCCGTGCAAACCTCCTAAATGAAGGCACAAGCTAATAATTGGGTCAGGATGAGTAGTGCCTGTGATTAACAGTGTAGAAGAAAGTTTTAATCTAAGCTTTGAAGGTTCAAAACCGGCTGATGTGCAGGTGGTAAAATGCTTACAAAGTGCTTCTGACTTCCTCCGTGTTAATAAAAAAAATCAAACCCACCAACAACTCCTCTTCCACTGGGAAACCAAAGCAGCTTGGCCCCTTTTGTATGCTAGCATCTTCCTTGTTCATGTCTTCTCAGTATTTCTCACATAAATGAACCTGCTTTTAATAACCCATGGTATCTGTGATGTCTTTTCTACAGTACCCAGGGGTACAGAAACCTATGAACTGAGGGCCAAATTTTGTTAATGGAGTGAAAGACACTTTTTGCTAACATTCAAGAATGTGAGCCATCATCAGGATGCAAGTTTGAATTTATGACATCCACTGATGATCAAGTCAGAACAAAGCTAAGAGCAAACATCAAGTGGTTTGTGGCTGTTAGCATGGCTGAAGTGGAGAATCTGTTCTGTGCTGCCTTCCTAGTGCAGTTAATGTTGGCCAACTGAAGGGCACACTCAGGGAAATGTTACTTATCATTTAAGCAACTTTGAGAGGACACATAGCAAGGCCTCTCAACGTTAAAGGCCCAGTGAGTTCTGTGAGGTTTCTGTGGTATATTACTTCATTTTACCTGTGACACATGTGTGTCCAATGTAATCCAGCAGTTATTTTCACATAAAGTTTTAAAAAAGTGTATGTACCTGTTGATTGAAGGAGAGAAGTGCGCTAAAGAAACAAAAAGCGTAGCAGTGAAGCGGAGAAACATTTGATACACAGCTGTGTACAATACATCTCCATTGCTGAATTTAGACTGTCTTTTTGTCTAGAAGTTGACATAGCAAATCAATGCATTCCCCACCCCCACCCCCCCCATAATGTTTCAAAGCCAAGCTTACCACAAGGCAAAAGAAAGCGAATAAACTCAACAACACTG